CATGACAGCCCTGATAGAGCTGTCAACTCACAACGAGAAGGTTGCAGGTTCACGTCCTGGTCTGAAGCCTTTCTGGGTGGAGTTTGCATGTTCAATCGGTGCATGTGTGGGTTTTCTCTTGCTACTGCTTTCTCCCAAAGACTAAAAACATGCATGTTGGGTTCATTGGTAACTCTAAATTGTCTCTAGGTGTGAGTAAGAGAGTGGATTGTTGTCTGTATGTGTCCCTGTGATGGACTGGAGATATGCCCAAGGTGCCCTCCACCTCTCGCACAGTGACTGCTGGATATGGGCACCAATGACCCCTGCAACCCAAAAAGGAAGAAGCAGGTAAAAGATAATGGACGGATGGATGTGATCCTGTTTCAGTTTTTGGTAAGGTAAAAAAAAAAACCTGACTGTCTGCTCCTAAGTACACCATCACTTGCCTTAAGGTTTAGCTGATCTGCTTCTTTATTATTTATTGCTATGAAATCTTTCCCACTGCAGATTGCCTTTTACTTTTAAAGTGCTGGAGATTATGTTATCTTAAAGGTCTATATGCTACTTTTAGCCTTTCAAGATAAATGCTTATGTTTTGTTTATCAACTACAGCTTTGCAATTAATACATTTCTGCAATTCAAAATGTTTTGTTTACAACATGGAGATCTGCTCTTTCAATTCCTGTGTAGTGATACATGAATGAATAAATGACAAAATGTGCAGACAGCCCAGTCATGATCTGACAATAAACAATGGTGATTAGAGAAACTATAGGACAATATGCTGAAATCATGTTTTGTTTTATTAAAAATCTAATTCTAATTGTTTGAAATGGAGTTATGTGAAAAACTTACAAACAGCTACAATCTTTTCTTTTGTAGAAAGCTCTATGAACAACCACAGTTTGGAGAAGCAGAGTTTGAATTCTGACTGAAATGAAGGGCTAAGGGTTAAGACCAAACTTGATTATTGCCACTTTCAAACAACTTCACTCTGAAAATGTTCACAGTGGTTCATGTGAAAACTACTTCTTCTTGAATCTTGGCCACATTTAAAATAGTCATTTGCGGTCAATCAAGTCTTATTTTTATTTACGCGTATACTGTGATTTCATCCATCCATTCATTTTCTTTCTTTTACCCGATTGTCTGGTTAAGGTCACAGGGAGTGGGTGTTTATCTCCAGCAGTCACTGTGTGAGAGGTGAGGTACAATCTGGACAGGCTGGAAGTCCATCACAGGGACACATAGAGACAAATGAGACAAACAACCATTCACTCTCTCATTCACACCTAGGAAACATTTTAAGTTAACAATTAGTTTTTATTATTTGAGAGAATAATGGAGAGCCCAGAGAAAACCTACACATACACAATGAGTATGTGCAAAGTCCACACAGAAAAGCCCAGATGGGAAATGTTTCTGCCACCCTCTTGTTGTGAGTTGACAAGACCAACCTCTGCTCTGCTTTGCCGCCCAAACTGTGATTTCATTGTGTTCAACTTTATGCACATTTATCTCACCAACATTCCGGGTATATTACAAAGACTTGACGTTCTCACTGTTCCAAGACTGTAGCGTGCTTCAAACGGCAAAAAAGTTCAAGCTTTCTTTGGTGCACAATTCAGAGCACGACATCTTACACTACTCATGTAAGCAAACTGATTCCACAAGCAGACTGCTGATCAGCTGACCCATCTATAAGTATCTTATACTGCATTTTATCATGTATAATTATCATGTAGGAGCATGTGCACATTCTATATGGGTCGATTTCTGAGATAAGGTAGAACAAAACAATACTTTTCATGTACTTTGCATATTTACTGGAGTTATGAATGAGAGCTGTTGAAACGGTGATAAAGGAATAAAAAAATGGCAGCAGAGGAACTGAACAAGAGGCCCGAGGAATGTTCCACTTTGCTAAATGTCTCTCCTCTGGTTCTGTTTAAACCCGTTTAACACAGTGACAAATTAGAGCCGCTGCCATGTGAAGAGTCTCTGTGATCTGTGTAACAATTCGACTGTGTGTGAGAGACAGAACCAGGGAAAAGATAGACTGTATGTGTGTGTGTGTGTGTGTGGTGGTTGGGGGGGGGGGGGGGACAAG